TTACATTAATCAATCATATCATGTTCTACGTGTTTTATGTTGTTCGTATTGAAAATTCCCTGTTATGAGGTTCTTGTGGCAATAGTGAGTAGTATAAAAGAAGTATTTTGCAGTTGTTTAGAGATTTTTATTTTTCATGAAGAAGGAATCTCCCCCTGGCTCTTCGTTTTCTTTATGTCAGCCTTCTTTCCACAACAACTAAATGGAGATTTTTAAAAAATTGTTATTACGAGGCTTTAATTTCAAGCCTTTAATATGCTACCTATTAGGTGAATACAGATACAAATCAACAAAGAACAATACAGATTACATGAGTAAAATATGACATAAAATCAGTAGCAGAATATAGTTTATACACAATTTGAAATGTGGGAGGAAAAAAAGCTGATGACCACTTATTTCATTTTTGCCATGGGTATTATACTTTATGCCAGTTGATAGCAAGTGCCTTACATACATCCCACATATAGTAGATGGTCAGTAGGTATTTATTTATTGAATGACTGATATAAACCTTGTATTAAAATATAGGTTTATTTAATTTATTTATTTTTGAGACAGAGGCTCTCTCTGTCACCCAGGCTGGAGTGCAGTGGTGCCATCTCGGCTCACCACAACTTCCATCTCCCGGGTTCAAGCAATTCTTGTGCCTCAGCCTCCCGAGTAGCTGGGATTACAAGTGCGCACCACCATGCCCAGCTAAGTTTTCTATTTTTAGTAGAGATGGGGTTTCACCACGTTGGACACGCTGGTCTCAAACTCCTGACCTCAGGTGATCCACCCGCCTCAGCCTCACAAAGTGCTGGTATTATAGGTATGAGCCACCAGCCCAGCCTAGAATATAGGTTTAATCAATTAATCACACCAATTAGATCAATGGACTACAGGCATAAAACCTCTATAATTTATGTGAGTCATTAATTCAGCATTCTAGGTAGATATAATAGTATCAGTGTAAAATTATTACAATTTCACCATTTATTTTCTTTTTTCTCTTTTTGAGACAGCGTCTCACTCTGTCACCAGGCTAGAGTCTAATGGTACAATCATAGCTCACTGCAGCTTCAAAGTCCTGGGCTCAAGCGATTTATTTTTTTAAATATTTTACAGAGATTGGGTCTCGCAATGTTTCCCACGCTGATCTCTAACTCATGGCCTCAAACAGTCTTTCCTCCTCAGCCTCTAAAAGCTCTGGGATTATAGATGTGAGCCACTATGCCTGGCCTACATTTATTTTCAAATGTTATAATAATGGTAACTGAAGAAAGTATCAAAAGGCAAAAGAAAGTTTGGATTTTCTATTTTATTTAAACTTTCAATCTGATTTATTTAAAGTCTGCCCTAATTTAAAATTTAGGGCTATTGATAATTTTTATGGAACATTTAGCTAACAGCTGTACCTATGCTAACCTTAAACAAACGAACAACAATATACATTTTTATTGTAATTATTGCTAACAAAAGACATATGTAAGGCTGGGCACAGTGGCTCATGCCTGTAATCCCAGCACTTTGGGTGGCCGAGGCGGGTGGATCACCAGGTCAGGAGATCAAGACCATCCTGGCTAACAAACCCTGTCTCGACTAAAAATAAAAAAATTAGCCGGGTGTGGTGGCGGGCGCCTGTAGTCCCAGCTACTTGGGAGGCTGAGGCAGGAGAATGGCATAAACCTGGGAGGTGGAGGTTGCAGTGAGCTGAGATCACACCACTGCACTCCAGCCTAGGCGACAGTGCGAGACTCCATCTCAAAAAAAAAAAAAAAAAAGATGTACGTAGGCCAGGCACGGTGGCTCACACCTGTAATCCCAGCACTTTGGGAGATCAGGAGTTTGAGACTAGCCAGTGATCTCCCAAAGTGCAGGTGATCAGTGGACATCAGGAGTTTGAGACCAGCCTGGCCAACATGATGAAACCCTGTCTCTATTAAAAACACAAAAATTAGCTGGGTGTGATGGCGCATGCCTGTAATCCCAGCTATTCGGGAGGCTGAGGCAGGAGAATCGCTTGAACCTGGGAGATGGAGGTTGCAGTGAGCCAAGATTGTGCCATTGCACTTCAGTCTGGGCAACAAGGGTGAAACTCCATCTCAAAAAAAAAAAAAAAAAAAAAAGTATGTATTTTGCAGTTATAGTATGGCTCATAATAGGATTATACAGAAGAAATTTTAAAATAAAAACTCAAAATACCCAACATGTATATAGAGTTTTCATCTGGAATCGATTTTTTTTTCCATTTTGTATTATTAACTGCATCTGAAGCATAAAATTGGGAAATAGTTCTGCGATCTTGACAAGAGAATTTTTAGGGCCAGTGCATTTTCTTTCTTAAATACTCCTTGATCTAACCAATATTTTTAAAGGACTATAAATAAATACTAGCGCTTTGAAACACAAAAGCCGTATCAAAGAAATAATTGTGCTTATTCTTGAAACAAACATTGAAAATGCCATTTTTTAATCATACACTATTTATGTGTAGCCTAGAGTTCAAAGTGAAGAAAAGCGTGCATTGTCTGAGAACATTAAATTTTTAAAGTTATTTCCCCAGTCGGGCTTTGATGCAAAGATTATTTGAAGGAATCGAGAAACAATTTAGTTTGGAAGTTATTTTTTGCTTGGTCGCACGAACTGTTTTCTGGCTTTTTCCCTTTCCTAGAAGTCCCTCTAGTGGAAGGTAGTGTGAACAGTAGGAACAAATGAGAAAACAATGAGTAATTATTGTTGATGTAAAATCCACCAAGAGTCATCCTAACATGTGAAAACCCTGCATTTGTTATTCATAAACACTATTTTAACAAGTATAACCAGAGCTCTTTTTTTCTCTCTGAAATGCTAAATTTGATTGATTATTATAATGAGCCCTTTTTTTAGCCCATTCTTTTCTCTTCAGAACCTAAAGAAATATATGGTGAACAGCACAGTCTTTAGAAAATGAATTTCATAGGGAAATTAGATAGAAGCCTGCGACTGTTATGAGTAACTACTTTGTAGCCCAGTTTATACACTTCATTAGCTTGATTTCTAAATAAGAATTTGTCAAATAGAAATGTCATTAAAATGCCATCATCTGTGGGGTGTTTGTCATGTGGTTTTTTTTTTTTTTTTTTTAACTAACAATTTGTAGCAATGTGATATTCATCCCAGAACCCTGTAACTGCGTATTATGTTGTTTGAAGTGTTACATTTGTTCATCGGTACCTCATACTAATCTCTGTTCTTGTCATTCGTGTTACACCCACCAACCCTGCTACCAACCAAATCACACAGGGAGCATCTGGCTTAGACGGAAAGCCAGGATCCCGGGTGAGTCAGTCCCTTGTCTTGCTCTGACATGTTTTGTGGCTGTGAATCGTGCACTTCAGGACAGACCCCTTTGCTCCATGTCCTCTCATCAAATGATGAGGGTGTACTTAGAGCTGTCGTAAAAGGGGAAGGTGGACAAAGATGGCCGCAAAGAGGGGAAAGGTGGACAGAGGACGGTTGCAACTCTGTCTGGAGAACAGCTAAACTGCCAGAACGTCTTTCTGAAGCTTGTGTTCAAGTCTGGATAATTTGCTAGGTGGGAAGAATGACCAGACTAATGGGCTTCATTATCTTAGAATCCCGGACGAATTTTTCCAGAACCAGTAGACAGACATCCCCTACAATTCCATGAGAGCGGCCCTCTGAAAAGATTAAAATAATGTGAAATTATTGTAACTTGCTTTTCCTTTTAGACTTATGCCCATCAAATGTAACTTCTTCCTTGGCACTAACTTTCAATTTCTGTTCATAGAAATGACTTGTCTGTCTTCTGTCATTTTGTCTTTTTTTCTTTGGTTCTTAACAGCTCCAGCTCTTAAATTTCAGCCACAAATACTCAGTATTTAGAAGTCTTCTGAACGTGAACTTTGAAATCAGGCAGTAAGAAAAATATCAGTTAAGCTGATGAGAATTCGGCAACATTAGAATGAATTTTAAACTCTGAATTCTTTCTTATCACAAGGCTCTAACAGAATAAACCAGAATAGTAGAACAGAAATGGGAATACTAAAGAAAAATCATGCTGAAATAGTTCCTACATTTGCAAATATTATAATCCATTTTGTGTGAATCTAAACATAGTCATCCTGGAAATGAGCAAGTATACTCGAAGTCCTGGCTACAGTTTTAAGAATCTAAAAGAAATTCCCATCTTTTCAATTCTAAAAACTTATTTCAGGCAGTCATGATTTTCACTGGACCTCAGCGTTCTTACATTCATTCAAATATCACCTCTTCTCCTGCAGAAATCCTAATCCTGAACTAACCAGGGGTACAAAAGGGAATTCTATATTTAAGTTCATCTTGGCTGCCTGGTTTGTGAGTTGTAAGCCTAGTGACCAGCCACTGCCGCAGAATCTATAAGAATGATTCCTTTCCTGTAAGCGCCTGCTGCCCCCAAGAGAGCTGCAGAAAGTTTGGATTGAACAGTTACACACTGTTTTCATTTGCTTCATAATTTTCTTCTACTTGTGTAACTGTTCAAGCCTCTTAAACAGCTGAAAACAAGAGTTCAGAGCTTGCCCGGCTAAGGGTGGCAGTGACTGTAGAGAAGGGCTTGAGGAAAAGGTGACAGGAAGGAAAAACAATTACATTTTTCTTCTTAGGATTATGGGGCAAAGTGAAGATGCTCTATTTATTTATTTATTTATTATTTTTTGACACCGAGTCTCGCCCTGTTGCCCAGGCTGGAGTGCAGTGGCACGATCTTGGCTCACTACAATCTCAGCCTCCTGAGTAGGGGAATACAGGTGCCCACCACCATGCCCAGTTAATGTTTGTGTTTTTAGTAGAGACGAGGTTTCACCATGTTGGCCAGGCTGGCTGGCCTCAAACTCCTGACCTCAGATGATCCACCCACCTCAGCCTCCCAAAGTGCTGGGATTACAGGCTTGAGCTACTGCACCCGGCCAATGATGCTTTATTTAGTCAGAGGAAAAAGATATAATTAAATATGATATGCAGCTTTTTGTGTGTACCTTTCATTGAAACATGCAGTTATATAATTCATCCTTTTTGCATGAGTTTCTTGAAAACCGCTGGCCTGAAATAATCAAGCATGAAGCACTTTGAAAGGAGATGAGTTGTCTTACTGGTATTCTTAGGCACCATTCACCTAGGAAAAATTCAGGATAAATTATAACTGCTATTCCTGCAGCCCTTGTGATATATCTCATATTATCTTTTTTTTTTTTAGGGAACAGATGGTCCTATGGGACCCCATGGCCCTGCAGGTCCCAAAGGAGAAAGAGTAAGTTGTTGCTGAGGTTATGAAGCTTGTACTAAAGAAAACACAGAGCATGGCTTTTCCATATTAGTTGAAGTGTTCATTTTTCAGAAGAAATAAAGGGCTATCTAATATTAAATAAAAAGAGATACCATTCTAAGTTCTATTCAGAGTCCTAATATTGAGAGAAGAAAACCACAGAGCATAAAATAGAACATGGCTGCCTTAATAAAAACAACACATACATTTACATAGCTGAAATAAATAGCTCAGATGATTCTTCCTTCACCCATAAGGAAGATATTTTCATTTGGCCTTCATCCAGAAAGTTGAAGTCAATGGAGCTAAAATTTCCAGGAGTATGTATTCTGGTTGATAATCTTTTATATAAAGCTACTGTACTCATTCAGAGTAGCTTATAACTTTTTTTCCAAAGGAAATAATGAAACCTAAGTATTCTTTTCTGCACAGTTACACATGCTCCCCCATTTTTAAAGCTAAAGGATAGGCTGTTTTTCTTTAACCATAAGGAAATAATTTCAGTGCATTATAAAACAAAAACCTTTCACTAACCTCTCTATTGCTAGGCCACGTTTCCATATCTTTTGGGGAAAAAAAAAGACATTCAGAATGGAAGATAAATGGTCATCTACTTGAAACTTTCTTCTCTCTTCTCCCTCTCATGCTTGCGCTCTCTTGCGCTCTCTCTCTCTTTCTCTTTTTCTCCCACTATTTCTTTTCCTCACCTTGGAAATCTTAGAAGTATTTTTGTGTGTCTGAGTGAAATTATGTCATCAATTTCCCTACCATCCAGGACAGGATATAAAGAAAGTATTTTAATAGTGAGGGCTTCAAAATGTTGGAATGATTCACTGTGCAAGTTTGTGGTCTTTTAAAAACTAGATAGATTTCATCAGTCTGGGATAATTTGCTTTAAAAAAAGAGGGCCAGTGGTCATTTCTTTAACATACCTTCCAACTCTATAATTCTGTGTTCTGTAGAGTGATCTCATTCATTTGGGAAATATTTACCAAATGCTACTATGTGCAAAGCATGGTATCACTGCTAGTGTGAGATGGAAACACTCTCCTCCCACTTAGGCAAAGCCTATTTTGCTCATTTGCTTCAGTACATTGAATAATAAATACCATTATAATTGATTAATTATCTCCCCGTCTTTTATTAATATTTTTATTAATATTTATTAATATATACTGAATGCTGCAAAAAAAAAAGCAGCTATTCTTCTTGACCTAGAAGAGTTTACAATCTAATTGCAGAGAAAGAAAAATGCATGCAGGAAATAACCAGAGAATGAGGCCAAAATAATACAAATAGTACAAGCTGTACAGTGATGAAGATTGGCTTTATCCAAGAATGCTTGTAGAAAGAGATGAGTTCTAAGGGAACGTATAATCTGAATGTGCAATTGTCATATTTCTAAGATCAAACCAATGACTTCTGAAGATCATCTTAATTAAAAATATTTAAAAGCTAAAAGCCTCAACGCTGCTGACGCATATTGGCTTTCAAGCATTGTATGAAGAAACCCAGCCCATGTACTAAAAATGGAGCAGCAAATCTCAGGCAGTCTTTTGGCAGAATGCCCTGGGGCTCAAGAGGGTTTACCATGTGGTAAATCAGCTGCTACTTCCGATAGCTCCACAATGTCACAAGAGTATCAGGTCTCAGTGCTGGAGCAGAATTAACCAGAAGAGCAAATGAAATTGCTAAGAATTTGAAGGCATAGTTTCAGTCAAATGGTGTGCAGTGTAAAGTGTTACTCTTGTATTTACTCAGGATGTTAACTATCTTAACTGGATCATATATCAGTACTCTCCAAGTGCCCCTCACTGGAAGTGCTGAACTGGAGTGTGATTCTCAGAGTTAATTGATGGAGGCGCCATCTGGATTCTCTCGAAAAAGTTTCAAATTTTAAAGAAGTCAGAATCAGCAAAGGGAGGTGTTCTAGGATAACGCCTCAGTGTTGACGTGCAAATTAAAGAACCCAAATGAAATTAGAACAACCTAAAAGAAACCATGCATTTGACAGGCAATGTTATTCAAACATTTTCAAGTGTATGACTGACAGCATTAATATTCCACTCTGCAAGCACCTGATCCTCCCTACCTTAGCTGATTTCTTCATTTGGCTTTGGAACTCTATAAAGTGTATTAAGCTTGAGAGGTTGAAAAATACTTTTGGAATTGCTTAATCCAGGAAAAGGAGTTGTACATTCAAATCCCTGTGTTAATATTTCATTCCTAAAAGCTTTCAAGCTGGAATCATTAGAATGCTTTTTGGCTCTAAGTGACAGAACCCAAATTCAAAATGGCTTACACAATAAAGAAATACATTATTTTATATAAGAAAATATTCAAAGGAGGACTCTAGGTTTTGCTTGGGAGCCCTTTTCCACATGTTGGCTTTGTCTTCTGACCATAGACAAGCTGGGCACAGTGGTCCAAGCATCCTCTCTAGTGAGACACCAGCAGAGAACGGAGAGACTACCCCCATGTCTCTTCCTGAGCAGAGAGGAAGCTTCCCCAGAGCTTCCTGGCTGATGCCCCTGACACCTCATTTGCCAGCACTGGGTCAGCTGTCCACTTCTGAGGCAGTAACTGGCAAGAGAAATGGAATTGTCGTTAATAGCTTGAAGTAATTATTGGGGGTGGGCTGTTCTAGAAGAGGAGTTTCACAGACACCTGTTTTAGTGACAGCTTTATTCAAATAAGCCATAGTATATTTGTTTGAAGAATAAGACAAAGCCAAGATTCTCAGCGGAGAAGGGAATGGTTATATCAAAATAGTCTATGGAGATTTTTCCAATTAGACCCATCCTAATCTGTGGAGTTGTTTCAGTTATTTCAAACTAGACACAGTCCAGTTTATGTGGATCTTTCCTTAAAACCCTCACCTCCCACTACACGTGCGTGCATGCGCACATACACACACACACACACACACACACACACACACAGATAGATTAGATAGATGATAGATAGATAGATGATAGATAGATAGATAGATAGATAGACAGACAGACAGACAGACAGACAAACAGACACAGACTTACACACACACATCTTACTAGTTACTTTGTTTGGTTGTTTTTTTTGAGATAGGGTCTTACCTTGGTCCCCAGGCTGGTCTCAAACTCCTGGCCTCAAATGATCCTCCTGCCTTGAACTCCCAAAATGCTGGTATTACAGGCATAAGCCACTGCACCCATCCCTTGCTCCATTCTTAAAGGGATTGTTTTTGATATTTCACTATTAAGTCCTATGCTGTAGATATTTTTTATAGGTGTCTCTTAACAAGTTAAGAAAATTCCCTTCTTAAAAAAATGTTTAATGTTTCATTTAAAATCTGGCCACTGTGCTGAGTGCAATTGCTTCTGCTTTAGTAATAACCATAAAGTAATAATGAGTAAAAAGTTTAAGCTTTTATCATATTTATTTTCAGTAATCTCACCTGTACCATATTGCCTGTAGGTGACAGTGTTAATTAGTTCCACTGACCCCTCAAATTTAGATAAAGAAAATGCCAACAGGGACCTGAAATTTGCTCACATGGGAATCTGGAGAAACACAGGCATATCAGGTAGCTCTGCAGGCACTGTTATCAGCTGAACCTGGTGTTTTGCCAAGAAAAAAGATTTGCTAACCTTTAAACTCCTTCAGGGGTATGATAAAAGGAGATAAGATTTTCTGTTTGGCTACTTATATAAAATCACCATTACTCCTGAAGTTTTCATACTAAATACTGACAAATACTTCAATTTGGAGATGGCAGCAGCAGAAAACACCATTTGAAATACAGAACATCCCTTTCTTTAACATCACAATTATTCTATTCACAAGATTACCTCCAATAATACTTATTCTTTATAAGCATTCAAGAATATCATGTAAGATGGGGAAAGCTATTCTATTTAAATAGGCACTTGGAGAGAAAGTGAGGAAGATAACATATACCTACTTTATCTAGCATTCAGAGGGGTTGAAAGTTTTTAAACCCTTTTTTTTCAAGCCAGGCATGGTGGCTCACCTCTGTAATCCCAGCACTTTGGGAGGCTCAGGTGAGTGGATCACTTGAAGTCAGGACTCCCAAACCAGCCTGGCCAACATGGTGAAACCCCGTCTCTACTAAAAATACAAAAATTGGCCAGGCGTGGTGACAGGCGCCTGTAATCCCGGCTACTCAGGAGGCTGAGGCAGGAGAATTGCTTGAACCCGGGATGTGGAGGTTGCAGTGAGCTGAGATTGTGCTACTATACTCTAGCCTGGGCAACAGAGCAAGACTGTGTCTCAGAATAAAAAATAAATAAAAAATACATAAATCCTCTTTTTCAGAAAGGAAGCAAACTGTGTACATGATTATATAGATTTGCTTTGACTCATTCATTCAACAAACAGTTCCTGATGTGCCTAACACTATTCTAAGCTATGAGGATGCTATAGGGAACAACAAAGCTAGAGGCCCCAGAACCTTCATGTGTGTATTCTAGTGAGGGTAGCAGAGAATAAGCAGGTCACGAGCTTTATGCATCTTCTGGTGTCTAAGGGCTGTGAAATAAAATACAGCTGGTGGTAGGAAGTGGGCAATCAAGGAAGGGTTTCCCTGAATAATTGTTTTTTGATAGAAGAAAAGACATTTCAGGCCAGGCACTGTGGTTCAAGCCTGTAATCCCAACACTTTGGGAGTCCAAGGTGGGAGGATTGCTTGAGGCCCCAGAGTTCAAGACCAGCCTGGACAACATAGTAAGACCTCCATCACTACAAATAATTTAAAAACTACCTGGGCATAGTGGTGCTTGCCTGTAGTCCCAGCTACTCAGGAGGTCGAGGTGGGAGGATCACTTAGGCCCAGTAGTTTAAGGTTTCAGTGAGCCGTGATCATACCACTACACTCCAGCCTGAATGAAAGAGGGATACCCTGTCTCAAAAAAGAATGGCACTTTATTCTTACATTTAAAGGTGCTAACAAAATAATTAGTAACAAATAAATGCTTCACACTAATGCCAAAGAAACCCAAGTATGGCATCTGAGATATACAAATGCTTTTGCACAGCTGGCCAGCGGCAATCTTGTGCTGCCCCTCTTTCAAAGGTGATTTAGCAAAAGATGCTACTGTAGATTACTTTCCAAATATCACTGGCAGTGACTCTGTAAGAGCCTAAATCTTTGAGATTTTCATAGAATGGTCCTTGAAATAGAGGTTTTAGACATAGGGCATGAGAGGGAGTGTGTGAATGGGGGTGTGTGTGTATGATTTGAACTTTCTACTTTTCATTTTAGGGTGAAAAAGGAGCTATGGGAGAGCCTGGACCAAGAGGGCCCTATGGGCTGCCTGTGAGTTCCCGGTCACATGCACATCCCCACCTTCCGCATGCATAGATGACCAGTCACTGACACGGTTAACCCTTCCCTTGTGGCAGACTAATGTTAGAGAAGAAACAGCAATCCACTCATTACCTATAAATCCAGTAATTCCATGTGCTTCACAAATAGGTCATATTCAGTATCTCGCCCTCTTATCATGTACAGACACATATCCAGGCACTTCACGAGATTGACAAGATCAGAGTCTGTTTCTAGAATAAACTGTTAACCCAAGAACAGGATCCTGTCAGAAGATGCCCTCCCTACGTCATCTGACTGGACACTCATAACTGGTACTTCCTTGGAAGGTCACTGGATCCAAAAATGGCTGTGGAAGCTTCATTGAAAACAGCCTTCTTCAGACTTTATCTGTTCCTATAGACTATTTACTAAAATGACTCTTGCTAGTAAAAAGTATTCCCCAAATTACATTGATATTTATGACGACTTGATGTTTCTGACTTTCTAAATTACTGTGATGACAAATGATCTTCAGAACATAGAACATTGATAACGTTCTGTCTTCTGAAAATTATTATTATTATTATTATTATTATTTGAGATGGAGTCTTGCTCTTTTGCCCAGGCTGGAGTGCAGTGGCGTGATCTTGGCTCACTGCGACCTCCACCTCCCAGGTTCAAGCGATTCTCCTGCCTCAGCCTCCCGAGTAGCTGGGATTACAGATGTGTGCCACCACGCCCAGCTAATTTTTGTATTTTTAGTAGAGATGGGGTTTCACTATGTTGGCCAGGCTGGTCTCAAACTCTTGACCTCAAGTGATCCGCCCTTCTCGGCCTCTCAAAGTGCTCGATTTATAGGCATGAGACACTGCGCCTGGCCTGAAAATTCTTAATTACACAGAATTCATATTGAGACCTCTGATTTGCTTTAAAAATATCATCTTGGGAATGATTATAATTGATTCATTAAGATAGGGTAGGATGACAGTAGAAGCGTATGTTGCATTAAGGGTTTTAACCTTTCCATATCTCCCACATGCTTTTTATGAATTGAAATAACAAACATAGTCCATGATTACCTCAGTGCTAAATAATAAAAAAAAAAAGATGCTGATTTTGAAATAGGTTTCAAAATCTAATTGATGAAATCAAAGTAGCCTTTTGTGAACTTTGGATGGATCCATACTATGACACAATAGGGTCATCACCATGATAATCTGCACCATGGGAGTGAATTTATCATTCTTGCCTAAGTCTTACGACTTTTAAAAAAAATATTTGGGGATTATTCATTTACAAAGCTTACTTAAAAACAGCTTTTCAGTTGCAATCTTCACACCCTTCGTACATGGTGTGCACATCTAGCCAAATTAAAACTGTATTTCTACATTCTTTACTCATTTGTGAGCTAACTACTAAGTTATCGAATTAAAGTAGCATTGATTCATATCCTCTATTAGTGCTGGTATGTTTTTAATTCAACTAAACAGTATTTTTGCTTTTAACTTAACTCCTGGACTGGTAACTTAGATACCAAGGTTTAAACACCAGCAGAATATTAGTCTATTTAACCCAATATATCATATAAAATTTTCATGACCCTTAACTTTAACACTAACAGTCACTAATCAACTAAACAGTATTTTTGCTTTCAGTGTAACTCCTGGACTGATAACTTAGCTACCAAGCCTTAAATACCAGCAGAATATTAGTCTATTTAACCCAATATATCATATAAAATTTTCATGACACTTAACTGCAACACTAACAGTCACTAATCCAAATGAGAATCTTTTTCACATTTCTGAAGTAGTTATTCTAGTACTAGTGTTGCATGTTCAGACAGCCTTAAATAAATCTATAATCTATTCATAAAACTTAGAAACACTAATGTAGCTACTATGGTTCTTTGGCAGGGGAAAGATGGAGAGCCTGGTCTTGATGTAAGTAATAAGTACAATAAACATCATCCTATTATAATAGATGTTGATGGTCTCCATCATCAATAACAAAAAGAATACTTATTTTCTGTGCATATAGGTATGCATAGAACATATATTGCTGTGCATGTAAACAGCAATATACAGTAGGGTTTGCATGAGATAAAACAGAAAAGCAAAAAAACACAATTATCTTGTATAAAATTAATAACTAGTAGTGGATAGTGGCACTTCCAAATACTTTCCCAAGTTGAGGATACTCTTAACATCGGTATGACCTATTTATGAAAAATATGCATAAAATCAACATACTTCTCACATGCTATCCTTACAGAATGATATGTTTTTTTTCTCAAAGCAGTTAGGCATTATTTTTTTCCCTTAGCATTTAGTCCCTATATATCTTATGCTAATATGTTTCTGTGAAAATAGAGAATGTCAAAAGCAAATGCCTCTAGACACAATCACTGCTCATCCTGTATTACATGAATAATGAGAATACCAAAAGTAATACAAATACTAATTACTGTTTATGAGCACCTGTTATGGGCAGGCATCATTCTGGTACTTTGTAGTGCATCACCACATTTAACATTCACAACAGCTGTTGGGTGGATATCATTAACCCCATTTTACAGTCAAGGGACTAAAGTGCAGAGAGGTAAGTGATTTGCCCAAATCTGCACAAATCAGTGAACTTCCAAGAATTCAAACTAGTATCCTGATATTCTTTCTACTCTCTACGTCTTAAAAGAAAAAGCAAGCAACCTGTTGTGTATAGATAATTGAGACATTAGAAAACTTACATTTCTAAGCACTGCTTTATTATCTCACCAGTCTTAAGACTGGTGAGCCATTTTGTGTTATATTTAAGTTCAGAAATGTAAAATCCTAAAATATTTGTTTCTAGATGATTTTGCCACTATTACACCAATAGATCTTTTTGGTTTGCTTTTTATCTTACAGGGCTTCCCTGGTCCACGGGGTGAGAAGGGCGATCTAGGAGAAAAGGGAGAAAAGGTAACCTCTCCATCCCAGCATGTACCTTGTTTGATTCTTCTCCTGCTGTCTGCTTTGCTGTTCAGCTTGTGTGATTCCATTTGACACTTAATCTTTTTCCATCCTGTGCTCCAAAAACATACTGATGCCTGATTTAAGGAATCAGGTCTTCAGAGAGGAATGAAGAAGGCTGTGCTGCCAGAGTAAGGGCGCTGCCTGGCATAGAAGAAAAAATTATTATCCCCAGATATTCAAGCTACAGTTTTTCAACCACCTGACACCAATTTATTGAAAAGTAAAGGATTTTTGAAAAAAAATTATTTTAAAAAGTAAAATTAAATGGCACAAATCTGCAATGGTATTTGGCAGAGCTCATTGAACCCTGCAAAACCAGCATCTCACTTGTCTTCACTACTTCCCAGTAGAGAAATGGAGATATGTTTTGTACCTGGATATTTTTTATTTGAAAATGGAGGAGAAGCAGTGTGACTGATAAACTACAGTAAGTTCACTACGCAGGACTAGGACTTGCCACTTTCAGGTTCAGAGCAACAGGGATTTTTAAAACGGAGATATTGGTGTATTTTATGAGGTTGATTTTGAAGTTCTATCTCTGAACCAGCAGCTCCATGGTCTTTAGGAGCCAATATCAGGCAATATGGTTTTGTGACTTGAAAAGAAAAGTTTGGATTATGGATTTTAAAAGCCATTTTTTCCTTTCTTCTCCTTTGTTCTTTTCTCCTCCCCCTTCCCTCCTTTCCTTTTCTCTGTTTCTTTTCTCTCCTTCCCTCCCTCCCTCCATCCTTCTCTCTCTCTCTCTCTTCCCCCACCACTCCTTTCTCAGTATTTTGCTTGGGTCTTTCACCTGGTAATAGATCTAAGGAGAATTTTTTACGTTGGACACAACAAAAGAAGCCATCAAAAACTCAATCCCTCAATAGAATAGTGAAAATCTTAAAGTGGCTGAAACTATATTTCACAGTACAAATTTAAACCTGTTATATTTCTCAGGTTAATTTATGTCCCTGCTCTCTTTAACCCTATCAAGTCTCTTGGACAGTGACCTTCATAGCTGTTGACAAGCAAGGCTAAATGAGAGTTGTCAAAGAAAGAAGATTATTAAGCTTGTGGTGTAAGTTTTAGGCCTTAAGCATTGCTTAGACTCTCCCCCCACCCGTTGGTAAGACAGCCCGTGTAAGTGGTTATCTGAAAGCCCCGTCATCATCACCAGTATCATCACATTTACTGAGCATTATGTGCTTTCCCAAGGGCTTTACATATGATAAGTCTTTTAATCCTCATAACAACCCCTGAAGTTGGCATTATTTTCCCCACTTCACAAACAAGAAAACTGAGGTATAAAAAATTCTTTTATTCTGAATTATAAATTCTGACTATAAAATATATATGTTTTGAGATAAATTGTGCATATAAGCTTTCAGCCCAAGATGGGTGTGTTTTAAAGATGATATGTGGCTGGGTGCAGTGGTTCATGCCTATAATCCCAGTGCTTTGAGAGTCCAAGGTAGGAGAACTGCTTAAGGCATAGAGTTTAACACTAGCCTGGGCAACCCATCTCTAGCGAGACTCCCAGCTCTGCTAAAAAATAAAAAAATACGATGGGGCATGGTGGTGTGTACCTGTAGTCCCGGCTACTCCAGAAGCTGAGGTGGGAAGATCACTTGAACTCAAGAGTTTGAGGCTGTAGTGAGCTATGCTCACACCACTGTACTTTAGCCTGGGTGACAGAACAAAACTCTGGCTCTAAAAAAACTCAAAAACATATATATATATATATATATATATATATATGCATTTTATATTTACCTAATGGGTTATATGAGTCTAAAATCTTAATCACGCAAAAACATATTACTGCCGGGCGCGGTGGCTCACTCCTGTAATCCCAACGCTTTAGGAGGCTGAGACGGGTGGATCACTTGAGGTCAGGAGTTTGAGACCAGCCTGGCTAACATGACGAAACCCTGTCTCTACTAAAAATACAAAAATTAGCTGGGGGTGGTGGTGGGTGCCTATAATCCCAGCTAGTTGGGAGGCTGAGGCAGGAGAATCGCTTGAACCCTGGAGGCGGAGGTTGCAGTGAGCCAAGATCACGCCATTGCACTCCAGCCTGGGCAACAAGAATGAGACCCTGTCTCAAAAAAAAAAAAAAATACCATTAGGAGGATACTCATGTTTACGAGAAAGAAATTACCAGCATTACAGCATAGGAAAGCATAAAAGCTAGAAACTTGATCCTCAGAATAATGTTAATCACCCATACAAAATATTTCCATGTTTAGCTGCCATGATTAGAAGTTTTAAATTTACAAAAATTGATTCTAAATGAGAATAATTCATGTATATAATTATTTGACATGGGAAATAAAAGTTATCAAGAACTCTCATGTACTCATACCCACAATGGCATGGTTTTGTATTGCATGGGGAATCAGTACATATTACAAAACAATGCTGACTAATAATAACATTGGCACGTTATTCTTCATACTGTAGTGTTTCTTTTCCGTAAAGCTTGAGGCTCACTAAAATATTACTGAAAAATGATTCCTATAGTCTGGCACAGTAACATTCATATGACAACATTTTTCTGTTGAGTGGTTAATCTGAGTTGATTTGCCAATCAAATAATGAATTGAATTCCAAAGTAATAATACCCAACACACCGGTCTCAGACACACCTATGTGAAGAAGAGTCCACTGCCCTCTGGGAGGGAAGAGCTCACCCAAATGAGTTTACATCAGTTTTATCTCATGGTACTGAAGTGATTTATTAAGGAAGGATGTTGATCCATCTTGAGTGAGTGACCAACTTACTTCTGAATGTTCCTCCCATCTTACTTCCTATCACAACTGCTCTCATTTCACCCTGGCTTCTGGGGTCATCATTGTCTTTGATCATGATCAACTAAGCCACAGAGAATGTCTCTTTGCCCCATATTCAAGAAATCCAAGTGTTTTTGATTCTGAGCCTTCTGATGCAATCTTTTTGGCACACAGGAGATAAATGAAGAGCTTTTGCTCATGCTGTCAGAATGAATGTATTAATTTGAATGCACATCTCATATATTTCTGTTATGTGTATCTCTTTTCACCTTTCAATATTCATGTTGCTTTGCTTCAGAGATTATTGTTTTATTGTAACTCCCATCCTGATTGCAGAATGAATACATTTTTTTAAGTATGTATTGTATAGCATTTTGAATTCTGCACGGCACTAACTCCCTGTCTATAAATATGCAGAGATATTGATGTTAATATAAAACAGCTGAGGTGCATTCCTTCCTTCTCCTCCTTTTGCCTCCTTTCCTTAATTCCTCTGGCCCTATGATCCATGCAGATTTCCCACAACCTTTACCTTGATTCCTAAATACTAATTTCCATATCTACATTCCCACTATGTAATTATCCTGCCTACCTCATTTTACTGAGTCCAAGCTGCTTTTCCTCTCCTGAACAGATTTTTTTTTTTTTTTTTGGCTTTTGTCACATTATGAGTAAGCTGGAAACTCATTTACCATTGTAAATACATGGCATGAGATCAGTAAGAGAGTGAATTAAAGAAGATCCCTAGGTTTATAAATAAGTCGATTTCTCCAGTTGGCATTGCTGCAAACTATTAGCACTTTTAACATTTGTTACCTGACTTAATAAGGAAAGTATTTGCTTTTAGTTTCTTTTAAATGTTTTGCTGTAACAAAAGGATATAAAAAATATTAAAAGAAATAGCATATTTTAAGACATTGAATATTTTTGAATGAGAGTTACACAAGTAATATCAATCATAAAGTTGGATACATTTCAAAGAACTAGACACTGTTAACATTCTTTCCTTTTCCTCTGGTTCAATGCAGCTTTCATCTGTTACAGGATTAGAAAAAAGAAAGGTGACAGGTATTGAAAATTGAGTGAAGTATCCATTATTTCCCTGAACTTCATCTGCCACTGGCTGGCTTCAATGCTTTTGGTACCTGTCATCCTCACAGGATCTGTGACTCAGACACCTAATTCATGACTGTGACATTGTGGTCTAAGTTAGCACTTCTGATGTATCAGCTTTTAAGCCTCCTTCTGTCTTGTTGAGTATCTTAAATAAAATCCCACATGCCCCTGCCCAGAATCCATTGTCACTCTGAAAGTATTAGCTTTTATAATATCATGCCTTACCTAAATCAGAAAACAGTGGTAAATGCCCTTCCAGAATTTTCTTACCTAAACCATCTTTTGAATTACCATTATTTCCCCCCAAATAAAATTTGTCTTTTATTTAAACCCTTGTATCCACAGGGGGAAAAGGGAAAGAAAGGCAAAAAGGGCCCTAAAGGGGAGAAAGGAGAACAGGGTGCTCCTGGATTAGATGCACCCTGCCCGTTGGTATGTCTGACTCCTGGAACTGTCTCCAGATGTTTGTGTGAGGGGATCAGATGGGAGAAGAGCAAGCTGGAGGGATCCGTAACAGGAGGGTTTCTGATTGGGGTCATTTAACACGGACTTCAAGATACCCAGAAACATTTATCACAGTTATCCTGATATGTTCCACATCTCATCTCTGGCCACTAGCTCTGCCTGGTTTCTTAACCCCCAAATATCACGGCACAACTGGAACCTGAATGTAAGATCCGAAAGGAACCGGCACTATTCCATACCCCTCCAAAGAGAGGCCACTGTTTTCAAACAAGCCCCTGTTGTAGGAATATGTCTCCCTCCATTTTACTTTGTCCAACTTCACTGGATGTTACTTTTCCCTTCAGAGTTGCTCCTCTCCCAGCCTTTTGTTGTTGTAGTTACTTCTTTCGCAGAATTTGTGCTTAAGTGATTTCTTGTGTTAGTAACATTATCAGTTAATCTTTACAAACAGGGATTCCGTGGCGTTAAGGGGGAAAAAGGGGAGCCAGGCCAGCCTGGCCTGGATGGGCTGGATGCCCCTTGCCAATTGGTACAGTATTTCTCTTTCCTACCACCCTGCATGCAGTTCCTTTATTACATGTTCATCTCTATCAGTGTAAAGTGGTGCATTCTGGGCAAGCTTTACATGATAAACACACTACATGCATGTGCATGAACAGGCTCCTTCTGCCACTCTGCAGAGTCAGAGGGCAAGCACGCGTTTCTATCAATGAATGCAAATTAATCTCCTGATGTTGTTCTCACAACTGACATGACCACCTTTTTTGTGTTCTTTGGAATATTAATTTTTTCCATAAATATTTAAAGATTACAGTAAAATTATATGAAAATATTTGATGCAAAGACACTGCTGGACCATAGCTTTTGGTTTTCCACCTAAGTTTGACTTTTTTTCTTTTTCTCTAAAACAAATAAAGGTATTTCTGCCTTTTTCGCTATATTTCTATCAGGCTGTAAATAAGGCCCAACCTACGGAATTCAGCTTCTGTTGTCAAGTGTTAACCAATTCAAGAGAATGGTTTAAGAGACCACAGAGAAGAGGACCAAACTTCTCTGAGCTTCTAAAGATGATAAGAGTCTGCAGCCCCAACCCTCTTCTTTGTCACATAACCTTTTCAATTTAATGGTCTCTCCTTTTGAAACTCACTTTCCTAAAGTAGACCAAACTCCCTTATCTCCATTGGCATGAACTCAAAATCCTCCTGATACTAAAATCTAAAATTCTGCTGGTTGAACCTTCTCCTTGTACCAATCTGGCATTACCAGTTTTTCCCAAATATTTTATGAAGCTTTTCAAAAGTGTTCTTTTTTTTTACATTTAAAATGAAAGTATATTCATATTTTCTGAGGTATAAATAAAAAATTTTTATGTTTGCATTGATGGTTATACTGGTCTGCATGTTCTTATATTATTCTTCAGGTATAAGCATGATTCTTTAAATTTATATTTCTCTTTAAGAGATTGTATTTATATTTTTAAAAATTAAGCAGTCAGTGATTATAGTTAGAAAATCTCAATATGAAGTTCCTAGTTCTTTGTTTGCTTGGTATTGATGATAAATCATATTTTATGATCATTTTGTCGGGGGAAAAGTAGAAGCATGCCCTCTTGATGTACCAACTCTTCCTGCCTTATTTGTATCATTTGTATCTGAAGAATGCATACACTTTAAAATACATTTTGCCACACTTAGGAACCTCTTATTTTATTCAGAATTTGTTAACTTGTGAATAATTTAAATAGAGAAATTGATGAATGTTCTAGATAATATTTTATCATAAAAATATAGATAGGCTGCTTGTCTTCTAATTCAATTGAGTATGTTCTACTGTATTTACTTTCAATATAGAAAAGTGAAAAATACTGGCATGTGAAGAGCTACAAACTTCGGATAGAAATGGTTTATCATTGATTATTCATCATTATCATGAATTCAGCCATAGTCTAATAGTGACCAGGAAGATAAGTTATTTCGGTTTACTTAATAGAGATACCAGCGAGACCTGTTTTAATGAAATTGAGTATAGATTTATTATCTAAAAATATAGATATGAATAGAGCACTATGCTTTGTAAATTGCTTTTTCAAAATTAGGCATAACATTTTCTATACTTTATGTGTTTTCAAAATGTGTACTCACTCTGGAAAACATTTGAATTTTCTTTATTTTACCTAACACTGGGTAATATATTGGGAGTTGCTAATTAGTAAAAGATGCCCATGACCAAAGCCACTAATGGGTAGAAATTTATTTTTAAGCCTCTGAGCATGTGAATTATGAAGTTTAATCACTCTTATGGAGCCTGAGGAATTCTTTTTCTTCTCTTTAAAACAGGGGCCAGATGGCTTACCCATGCCTGGCTGTTGGCAAAAGGTAGGCTTTACTGAATAATTTCTCAAAAGAAGCACTCTCCCTTTCTCTTAACCTGGACTAGCCTTTTCCATTCCGAACAGACCTTTGGATGTGACATTGCGAAGGGTTGTTTGGATATTAAAAAGCAAAAGATTTCATCTCCAGAATATCTTTTGATCAGTATATTTACTGCTGATTTCTTCCTAAACTGATCAGCTAACGCAATTCTTAGCAAACATTGCAATTTGGAACCTTCCCTATCTAATCCTTTCTTTGGAATGGAAAGGGGCAGTGCACCCTGATAACGTTTTACTTGTCTCTCAAAATCTTTGTCTTCCTAATGTTTAAACCTATTCTCAATTGTGATTCTTCTTCTATTTATACTTACTTACACAGACAAACATGCTAATACATGGTAGAACCCTGTCAATATAGTCACAGAGCTGAGAAAGCAGAAAAACATAAGCATCATTTGTTTAATGATGTCTTGAGTTATGTAGGAGAAACTGAATTAAATTTAAGTGGTGTCCTTTATGAATCAGTTTATTCTAGCCTCTTCATATGACTGCCCATAGTCACTGTGTGTGTATTCAGTGAGGAATGGAGTTTATTTTTTACAGAGAACCTTCTATGTGCAAAGGCTGTATGATAAGCCTTTTCATATAGAGAATATCATTTCATTTAATCCATACAATGACCCCATAAAGTCTTATTACCCTCAGTGATGCAGATGAAGAAACAAATTCAGAGAGGTCAAGGACCTTCCAAGAGCACAGAACTAGTGTGTAACACAACTAGGAGAGGGAGAGAGAAACAATAGAAAGCAACAGTGAAACTGTAAGCAAGGAAGAGATCATCCGAATGAGCTGTGCTATTCAGAGAATACCAAACCTTTATGCAATAATGGTGAAGATCTAATTATAAAGGCTGTGCACATGCTACTGAAGGATAAAAGCATTCCAAGCATGTAAAAATGGGCTGAGAAAATGCACAAGATGCTTCAATCATTTTGAAATTTTTTTCTCCAGCACCTTGTGGCTTCTTCAGTAATTTTGGACAGGCATGCTTCATTAGCAACATTACAGCAAAACTATGTAGCAATGCAGAAAGATGGGAAACCTGACTCTCTTAGTTGCATCTTACCTTAGCAACTCCATGGTGAGAAAATCCTGAATAACTCACTCTCTTTCTTAATCAGTTTCACCTACTTGACCAGAGAAAGTAAAACCTCTCTCAGTAGCGTCATTTATTTAGTAGCTTCCCATACTCCGCTTTCAGCCTGTCAGATAATTAGCTTGATCACATACAGGGTCAAGTGGGTCTCATGAAAATGGACCTATCATCATATTCTTCTTCACCTGAGAAAACTATCCCTCCCCTATCATAACCCCCGTTCACAGAATTTTTAATAC